CGATCCCACATGATCGACTCATATACCAAATACAAAATCACAAAAAAAGAGAACATCAGGTATAAAAACTGAGTTACTACTTCAGAACTCAGTTTGACTTAAGATCTCTTAGAATCATCGTCCTCTCAATTCTGACAGAACAATAAGACTAGCTCATTGTTTACGAATCAATCCAATCATAAAGGCAATGGCTGCTTAAATTTAAGGCTCCATCGGACATGTATTATACCACCCAATGGTACCTTCACTAACTATTAGATAACCGTTTAAACTACAGATCCCAATAACTATAAATACCCTGCCTTCTACCATAATGTAGAAGTTGAATTCAGTTTTAAAACTAATAATAAGAATAAGCTAGCCACACTGTCCAATGACGTTTTTTAATAAATCGCCCAATTGGGTTCTGGTATAGTGACTTGATTACAGATATTGCGTTATGTCCTCGAAAAATTGCAGTAGCATTTAACGCCATAACTCTTGATTCTAGTAGACTGTACTATAAATCAACTGCTAGCTCTTTGAACTTGTTATCAAGAATTAAAATTTCTCGCAAATGAAGTTGATATATGTATACATGGTAATAATTTATTGTTTATGGGATATTTAATATAAGAGATAGTTATAGTTTTTGATAATTGTTTAGTTAGTTTGATCACTTGTCTTTGTCTTTTTTCTAATAATTTCAATAGCATCTGCTTCGCAACCGTATTTTCTTTTAATGGCTAAAGGTAAGTCAGCGCCAAAAAAGAACAGATCTTCGGATTTCCTTACTCGAGACATAGCAACATACATTTGACCATGGGTTAGCATATTGTCAAGATGTATGCCAACGCAATCAATAGTGGCACTTTGCGATTTGTGGATTGTCGATGCAAAAGCGGGCACTATCGGAAATTGCGATCTTGTGTAGCTTGTTCCTGGTACATTTCTAATGATACGCTGAATCCAATAAATTCTGTCTTCAACATTCCCATTTACATTTGTGATCGATTTTCTGAGACAAATGTTTTCATCTTCAACGTACTCAATCTGAGCAATAGTTCCATTGACCCAACCTTCGGCAGTATTTAAGTTTTGAATTAACATGATCGGCATATTGACTTTAATATACAAGGATTGCAAGAGTCTTGTTTCCTTTAAGGCACGAGCTGCTGTTCCTTTTGTGCCAGTATAGGTGTCGTGAGCTTGAATAACGTAACCGTCACCTGGTAAATTCTCGTAATCTTTTTCGTTGGCTAATCTCACTCTTTTTCTGGTATACAGTCGGAGGCAAGAATCGGGTAACTCGGACTTATGCACAGTTCTTTCGTTCAGGAATTCAATTACAGACTGATCAAAATTGTAAAGTCGAACTTTATCTAAGATATCAATAAATCGTCTTTCTTTCTGTCGGATTGGTTCTGTCAGGTTGTATCTATTGACTGAATTATATATTTGACAATCCCACATTGCACCTTCTTTTTTTTGTACGGGTAAAAGTTGTGCAATATCACCAAAAAAGATTGTTTTGACACCTCCCATTATGGATGATCTCTGCGTTGATTTAATTAATGCTTCATTTATCGATTCCAGTAGTTTCGAGCTGATCATTGAGTATTCATCGATTAACAAAATAAGTTTGGGATACAATTTTACGCATTCATCCAGAGTCTGATAATTTGGAACTAGGGAGCGATTTGCCATACCAAAAAAACGATGTAATGTTTGACCCCCAATGTTATGAGCTGCCACTCCGGTAGGAGCAAGTTTAAAAACCTGTGCAAATATGTCAGTATGCTATTTTATTTTGTTAAATGTGTTTATTTACCTTGTAGCCTTTGATTCTATAATACCGTTCTAGAATACGGAGGATATATGACTTGCCAGTTCCTGCAGCACCTGAAACAAATGAGGCTGAATTGGTCTTCATCTCTCTTATAAGTTGACGATAAATACTTTTCTGATCTTCCTGAGCAGTTGACATCATAACCTTAAGTTCGTCCTTGCAGACTGTCATTCCCCTTTCGATATCAGCAACATCATTTAAAGTTTGGATGTTGACTTCTCTATATACAGGAATACCACCCTCGCTAAGATTGATTAAATGCTCATAATAATCTAAAATTAAATTGTTAGGCACTTGAATACTTTAAAGCTGAATATTTAAAAATACCTTTCCAAGTTACAAATCCTGACTTTTCTTTTTCAAATGTTGAATTAAAGATAGCTTTCTTGAGAATAATTTGCTGGTAGTAAAAGTTCTCACCATTCGTTTCACTTTGATTAAATGTTCTCCAAAACAAAGGTTTGCCGGGTTTTATAGTGTATTCATCCGATCCACAATATACATATTTGGGAAGAGGGCCTGCATAATAACCAGTGCTTATATCCACATTATTTGCTAATCTATTTGCTGTAGCTGCATCAATAATTTTTTCGTTGCCTGATATTCTGGTGTAGTAGGAAAAAAATTCGGGAAGAGTAAGGCCTTCTGCACCTGATCTCTTTTCATAAATTTCTAAAAGTGGGTTATTATAATCAGTAATCAACACAGTAAAAGATGTATTAATGGTACTTACCAACTGGCGTGGTCATGTATATATCGGTAGAGTCAGCAGGTAAATCTTCGATATCATTTTTGATTCTTCGAGTGTCTTGTGTTACCAGATTTGTATTGATAAAAATAACACCTCTGGAATTGCTGTGTTTATGCCAGCCCATAACATCATACGTTGCTTCGACCGATCCAACAATTCTGGTAGAGTAGTGTTCGTTTTCTGACACATAAGATGATTTTTTATAGAAACTCGACTCTTTTTGCTGTACATTCTTTAATGAAATTTTTGCTTCATAGTCGTCCTTTGCCAAATATTTAGCCAAGTATCTTACGGCTTGTGGTCCTGCATTATATTGAATATCCATGCTTGTTGGAAATACTGCCAACAGATACGGATTGTAATTGTTTACCATTCCATCAACAACGTCTCTCTTATACATACAATGCCCTTCTTCATCATACTCAGTTTCGGGAACAAAAGGTTTGGGAAAACCAAAACGACATTTTCTTTTCGGATCACCACGCTTACAGTAACTATTAATTGAAATTTAGTATGGCATAGGCTAATTGTTTCATAAAGATCTTACTTGGTATTGCATTTATGAATTTGTAATCGATTGACTAATTCGTGCATTAAAAGATCATTAAAAGAGGTACCAGATGGAAAGCATGTATGTACAACATTTAATTTGATGAGCTCTTCTACAGGTTTTTCGGTCCATAATACGCAATGAATATGCGGACTACCTCGATCTTGGATTTCCATCACCCAGCTATACTCCTTGATACCACCAATTTGACTAGCAAAATTTTTCAAGACATACTGCTGAAAAAACTTGAGCCATTTTCTTTTGAAATGAAGTGAAAAAAGAATAGGATCTTCCCATGGAGCATTAGCGGTACTCAACCCTTGGAAATCTTCACTCTTGTCGTCACATGTGATGGTAAAAAAATGTTGTGGAGCACCAAGAGTTTCAAAGATGCATTGTAAATCCAAAAAGTTTTTTCTTTTGTATGCATAAGAAGACCTTATCAGTGGAGGCATTGTGGATACAATGTTTTTGTTCAGCAGTTTGGTCGAGCTATGGACAATGTCGTGTTGCTTTAAATTTCCATGTCCCTTGGTAGATACAACAAATCGATTGGCTGGAGCAATATTTTTCTTTTCGATGGTATCCAACATGAAAAAAATAAATGAAGTGTCAGTGGCAAATCTTCGGTCCTTCATAATCAGTCTTGACTTTGTAAAACTTGCAACATTTTCACCATTTAAAGTAGCCGTAGCAACACCACCACGATTTTCTGGGAGACCGTAAATGCCTTCACGCATTTCAAACTCAACAACGTTTGTAGGAACTATGGAATAGTGACCCGTGCAAGTTGGAAATAAATGAGGAAACAGCAAAGCAATTAAACTCGGATGAGAATATTTGACGCTTTTACCTACATTATCTTCACCGATAATTAAATCTTTAAATTCCACATCAGTTGCTTGTGGATTGATGTCATCTTTAGCGAATAATGCATTGTTCTTCCTTCCTTCGGCGGACCCAACATATCGCTTGTTTTCGGATATTTGATAATTGACCAAAGCATACGTTAATTTAGGCAACTGGTATCGAGCGATCAAGGGGTTGACTTTTTTCAGGGCCTCAAACGCAGCTGTAACTTTTATTTTGTTAATCATAGCGGGATCACCACGTTGGTAAAATAAACTGAGTGTTCCACCATATGCCAGCTCAGCAAATTCGTAATTGTGTGTGTTGAACATAGCACCCTTCAGTTCATAATGTCGGATACGTCCATTATACAGTGTAGCCCTTCTGGTAATTTGCGACATTAATTTCAAAGGCGAGAGAGCAGACTTTTCACGGTAATTCAGATTAACGGTCTCATTGAGTGTATCTCCTATGTAATTGAATAAATTAAAATATGTTACTAATATTAAATAGACTACAACAAACCTGGATACACCGGTCTTGGGAAACTCTCTTCTTCTGTCTTCAAGTGGACCGCACAAACCATATATTTGGAACTGTCGGTTGGACTGACCATGGGTTCCAGCTTCCATGAGACACAGGGCAAATGTTCAGGGTTTCTGATATGACGGTACTTGCGATCTTCAGGATACAAAACTTTCGTACACGCACAACAAAATCCATCGGGTTTCTGATTGATGAACTTTTGAAATTCAGTAATTTGTTTCTTTTGGACATTTGAAAAGGTGGAGAGGTTTCTATTTCCAACTCTAAATGAGAAAAACATGATAAATGATAAAAATGTCTTTGTGGTTTTTTTTTCAATCAATATTTATACTTTAAAAAAGTGTTTGTACACCATATCCTTTCTATCACCCAAATAAATTTTATGTAATGCTGGTGCAACGTTTTTTTTTTAAAAAAAGATAAGACATGTGGTTTATTAAAATACAAAAAAAAAAAAAAAAAAAAAAAAGGAAAATCCGGAATTAGGTTTCCATGGCTGCGGTACTTGTTTTGATGAAAATGTTTGGCGAGAAAGGTAACTTTTCATTCATAAGGTTCTCTAAGCTCAAGCAAGGAGCGTCCCACATGGTTTTTCTCACATTGGTGTTGTAAGAGTAAACCGTACTCATGGTACGGGGAACAGGCCTACCAGTAGCATTCGTTCTTGGACGACTGATCGCCTCGTTGATCGAAACTGGGTTGCAGTTTTGAGGAATAATACCCTTTCGACTAAAGTATAAAATATTAAAACAGGATCACATATATTATAATTAAAAACGTACCCAAATGCTCATGCATGTCATGGAATGACACAGCAAACGCCTCCACATTTCTCTCTGCTGTCTTGTCGGACTTACCAACAACAATTGTAGGGTCATTGATGTTCTCCCAGACATAACGATATACCGCATACGTGAGATTTGCGGGCTTGTCGGAAAAATCATGAATTTTCATTTTCTTGGCTTTTATGGGAAGAATATTTCCTTCATCATCAACCATCGGCAATGGTTTTACGTTATTTATATTAAGGCGGACATTGCTGAAGGCCCTGTTTGAATCATCAAACGTGAAAGCTGAAATATTGAGCGATCCTACAAATGAAACAAAGCATTTAACTACATCATCATAGAACGTTTAATTCTTAACTTACCAGTAAAGTAATGCTTGCTGTTTACATCGCAATAGCGAAAAAAATAAAACATCAAAGCAGGGTGAGAAACAAAGAGTTTAACTTTGACTCCTGAGTCAGCGCATTTAGACTCTAAAGTAACGTTCCGAGCAGTTACTCTGAACTGAGCGGCGGCGGTAACATAGGCATTGATTAATTCTCCAACGATCATTTTATAATATTATTATATTAAAATAACTGGAATCGTAACTACGCAGTCACAAGGCGAGCTAATTTTCAGTCACAAAAGATACAAAAGTTAGGATTTTTAATGGGGGTGCGGGTGATTCCCCCGCAAGAGGGGAGGGGGTTTTGGGGGGAGGGGGAACCCCTCCACCCAAGAATACGGCCCATAGTATTAGCATGAAAGAGCTTATATCTTATAAAACAGTGATTTTTTTTTTTTTTTTTTTTAGCAGTGTAATTTTTAAGCAGTGATAAAAAAATTGGGGGCAGGGGAACCCCTCCACCCAAGAATACGGCCCATAAGATTAACGTTGTCCCTTTATTTTTTTAAACATGTCAAATAATAGTGTAAACTGTGCGTCCTGTGGTCAAGAAGGACATAGTCGTAGATCCCACCGAGATTGTCCTTTAAATCCAGTAAACCTAAATACGAATGTAGGCATCTCTCTCTCTTTTTTTTTTTTTTTTTATTTGAAAAGACTGACTTTTTTTTTTAGGTGCCATCTTCAGTTAATAACAATAACAATGCACTAAGTAGCTCAACCTCAATTCCTGAGGTACAGCAAAAGACGAATATTTTTTTTGAGCATTCTGACTAACGTTAATTCCAAACAGGATATGGAGGTAGACGAACCTGAGTTGATTTCAACTCATGAGCCAGTCCAAGGAAGAGTTGTCCGTTGTTCAACCTGTCAACAACTTGGGCATTTAAGAAGATCGAGCCGTTTGTGCCCCATGAACAGTAATCGTGCCAACCAGACTTTAAATCAAGCAAAGCAAACTGAAATACTGCCCAGTAGACATTGTTTGGGAACAATGACGACTATGTGTTCTGAATGCAATGCATTCATGTGGGTCGAAGAAAGATCAGAAGGTGGTCTACATACTGCTAGATTTCAACTTTGCTGCGGGTTGGGTAAATACAAAGTGACACAATTTCACCCTACACCTGGACTTATATCCAACTTATTACGCGGAAATGATCAAAGAAGCAAGGAGTTTAAAAAACACATACGGTCTTACAACAATGCTTTAAGCGTCACGTCAATGGGTGTCAATTTGGACGAATCTGTTCAGAACTCTCGCGGCGGGGCCTATGCTTTCCGAATTCATGGCAGCATTTATCATCGAATTGGATCGTTGCTCCCATCCAACAATGTCGCACCATCATTTGCTCGAATTTATGTCTTCGATACTGAACATGAGATTGAAAATAGACACCGCGTTGCAAGCCATGTCGACATCAACACGTTAGGAGACATACAAACTTTAATGCATGATATCAATCCTATAGTAAGAGACTTTAAGACGATGAACCAATATTTGATTGAGAATCCAGATCACGTTGCAGATGTGGCAATGGTATTCCAGGCCGAAGGATTACCAGATCCACGAAGATATAATTCACCAACTAATTCGACTGAAGTTAGGATATTAATTTTGGGAAGTGACAATAGACAGGAGGGGGATGAGATAAGGGTTAGGGATATTATTATTAGACCCCAAAATCAGGGACAACTTAAGAGTATCAACGAGTTAAACCAGATCTACGATCCTATGTCTTACGCCTTAATCTTCCCAACGGGTCAATCGGGATGGCATAAATCATGCGTATCTGAAAGCGGTTTAAAAGTCACCACCATGCAATTTTATAGTTTTCATCTTATGTTTAGAAGCTGTGGACATGATCTCCACCTTTATGGAAAACTTTTCCATCAGTTTATTGTGGATATGTACGCTAAGATTGAGCAATTTCGTTTAAATTTTATTAGACATAACCAGTCAAGTCTTCGAACTGAACTCTACCGTGGATTACAAGATGCGGTCGCACACGATGACAATGATACGAGCTCTCTTGGTCGTAAAATTATTCTTCCAAGCTCCTTCATTGGTGGCCCACGACATATGTCCCAGCTTTATCAAGATGCCATTAGCATTGTTAGACGATTTGGAAAACCCGACTTTTTTATCACGTTTACGTGTAATCCTACGTGGCCTGAAATCCAAAACGAATTGTTGTATGGGCAAACCGCAGCAGACAGACCAGATCTTTGTGCAAGAGTTTTTCGACTGAAGTATAAAAGCCTTTTAAAAGACATTACCAAAGACCATGTTCTTGGTGTCGTCGTTGGATACGTTGCAGTGATCGAATTTCAAAAAAGAGGTTTACCTCATGCTCATATGTTGTTCATTGTAAAACCTGAAGACAGACCTAGAACAACCAGTGATTTTGACAAGATTATTTCAGCTGAGATTCCAAATGAAGAACAACATCCCTTAGCCTATCATACGGTCACAAAAAACATGATGCATGGCCCATGTGGCTCATTAAATCCCAGTGCCATTTGCATGAAAGATGGAAAGTGCTCAAAGGGTTACCCCAAAACCTTTACTGCTACTACAACAACAGCTGAATCTGGCTATCCAATTTACAGAAGAAGACGAGATGGTAGAAGTGTTACAAAAGCAAATGGAATTGCATTGGATAATATTTGGGTTGTACCTCACAACATTTATCTCTGTACGAAGTATGATGCCCTTATAAATGTCGAAATATGCAACACTGTTTCAGCCGTAAAGTATCTTTATAAATATGTATATAAAGGTCACGATAGAGCAAGTGTTCAAGTAAGTAGTGATGGACAGCAAAATAATTTGATATGTCAGGACGAAATCAATCGATTCATAGACGCAAGATATGTTTCTGCACCCGAAGCCATATGGAGAATATTTAGTTTTTCATTGCATAAAGAATTCCCAGCTCATCAGAGATTAAGCATTCACCTTCCTGGGCAAGAAATGGTGTATTTTTCGGAAGATGCTAATCTTGGTGATGTTCTTGCAAATGCAGCAAGTAAAGACACAACTTTGACAGCTTGGTTCAACATAAATAGGACTGATCCAGATGCAAATCAATACTTATATCATGAATTTCCGGAGTATTATACATGGCTCAAAAATGAAACTGTGTGGAGAAAAAGACAAAGGGGTTTGAATCAAATTATAGGCCGTATCTATTCTGTTTCACCAAAAGAATCCGAAAAATATTTTTTGCGACTTTTGTTGAACTACGTTCGTGGAGCCAAAAGTTTTGAAGACGTACGAACAGTCGACGGTGTGGTACATGATACCTTTCAAGCTGCTGCCCGTGCAAAAGGTCTGCTTGCTGACGATGAACAATGGGACATATGTTTGTGTGAAAGTGCTACATTCCAATCGCCTATCATGTTCCGAAAATTGTTTGTCACAATTTTGATTTTTTGTGAGCCATCCAGCCCGTTTCAATTATGGAACGCGCATAAGGATAGTCTGTCTGACGACTATTTATTGGCTCAAAGAAGGCTTCTTACTGACGTCACTTCTGCGTTGACGGATGCTATGAAAGAAGAGGCATATGGCAACTGCGTTTTGGATTTGAATGAAATGCTTGATTTAAATAACATCAAGATCAATGACTTTGCCGGCTTTTGTCTACCCTCCGTTGATACACGAAACGGCAACAGTCGTCGAGGGTTTGAAGGTATGAGCCGTCTTGAGCGCGAACAACGAGAGTTATGCTTGAAAGCTGAACGCTCAATGATTGACCCAGCTGAACTTCCTTTCAACAGTGATCAGCGTGCAGTTTTTGAAACTGTTATGAATTTGGTCGAGAGTGAAAAAATCCACGGAAACTCGCGCTTCACTTTAAAGATAACCTTTGTTTTTTGGATGGCCCTGGCGGAACCGGCAAGACGTTCATTTTTAATGCATTGTTACAGGCTGTTAGGAGAAAAAACTGTATCGCTCTGTCAGTAGCTGTAAGTGGAACTGCTTCTCTTTTATTGAAAGGTGGTCGTACAGCACATTCAAGATTCGGTATCCCCTTACATTGTAATCAAGCGTCAATGTGTTTTTTAAAGCCGAGGAGTAACAACGCGGCATTAATAGCATCATCAACAATTATAGTTTGGGATAAAGCTTCAATGATTAGTCGTGATGTTCCGGAAACTGTTGATCGAAGTTTCCGAGATATTATGAAGTATCATGATTCACGTCTTGGTAGAGTACCCTTTGGGGGGAAATCAATTGTTTTTGGTGGTGACTTTCGTCAGGTTTTACCTGTTGTTCCCAAAGGTACTAAAGATGACATTATTCAAGCTTGCATGATTACTTCTCATCTTTGGAGACATATAAAGCAATTACGATTATCTTTAAATATGCGCGTACAACAAGCTCAATTGGTGCATTGTTTTGAATCAGCTCAAGAGCTTCAGGGATTTTCTTCTTTTCTTTTAAGTATTGGTAAAGGTGTTTACCCTGTCCACCCAAACACAAGCAATATAATTCAGATACCAGACCAAATGTTTCTTCCCGAAAGCAGCATGGACCACCTCTGTTTACATGTATATAACAATTTTGAAAACGCCGGTGATGTTACATCTTCATCTTTGATGTCAAGAGCTATATTGACTCCAACCAATGCGTTTGTATCGGTCGTCAATGATCATGTTTTGGAAAAGTTTCCAGGAGAATACACCATTTTTCTCAGTACTGATACAGCTCTTTCGGATAATGATGCGTTGATATTGCCACCAGAGTTTATGAACTCTTTAGAATGTGGTAGTCTTCCGCCTCATGAATTAAAATTAAAACTAGGCTCCCCAATTATGATGCTTCGGAACTTGGCACCTGCACAAGGTGTGTGTAACGGTACTCGACTTATCTGCAAAGCTTTTCTTCAGCATGTAATTCAAGCAGAAGTAGCCACTGGACCATACGAAGGTAACATTGTTCTTATTCCACGCATCACTTTGTGCTCCACTGTGGAACAAGTTGGTGTTGAATTCAAGAGATGTCAATTCCCAATTCGACCAGCTTTTGCAATGACAATCAACAAATCACAAGGCCAGACATAAGATTCCGTTGGTTTATATCTTCCAACGCCTGTTTTCTCGCATGGACAGCTGTATGTAGCATTATCCCGAGTCAAAAAACCCAGCGACATCAGAATTT